TAATTTTTAAAATATATTTATTCAACTTAAAAATTCCTTTGAAAGATATTTCATGCGTAAAACTATTATTCCTGCCAATTTAATGCACATTGTTAAAAAAAAAAAAACCAATACATAATTAATAAATTCTTGGATACAGAACTCAAGTATTTATAATTATACATAATGTTTTTTTTCAGATGCTTTTCAATTAAATTTTAAAGTGTAATTTGATTAACGTCGTTACTGTTTCCCATTTCAAAATTCAAAATTCTGTAGGAACGAAATTTACTACAGTTTTTTTTTAATCAACACGATTTAATATTTACCTGCAGTATTGAGAAATTCACTATTCACACCAATATGACCAGTGACAAGGATTGCATCATAACCAGGAAGAGTTTGTAATACATCTTCGCGGGTCGGCATAATAGATTGAATGATTGTAACATCGCACCTGAGCGCAAAAACAAATATAAAATCAGAAGAAACTATTAAATCACTTTAAAGTACATTTAAATGGTAAACAATCTTGCAATGTTATACAGTTAAATTGTTAGACTTGTAGCTTTTCTTTTGAACTGTGAGAATATTATTAAAGTTTTATAAAAAAATAAATATATTATCAGTTATTTTAGTAGAAAAACGCACTCACTTTGTACGGAGAAGATCTATACCAGCTGACAGTACATCGTTACTAGTGACCAAAACATGTGGTTTCATTGTTCTTTTCCGAAGTACTGTCTGTAGCGGCAAACACTTTGTAAACTGATAGACGCGAGATATTCCCCCTCGTTATAAAAGAGCCGGATCTGATAATACGCGCAAGCGCACACAATTCGATAGCTAGGTAAAAAACGAGGTATGAAGAACATGGTATGTTTGTTGTTTTGTTATAAGAACATCTACGTTATGTAATTTACTAACGCGAAAGATGATTCTTATGAAAAATTATATATAAAAACAAAAGAATTGTGTATGTATAAAAATTGTAAGTAGATAGAATCACTTAAGATTGAGATTAAACCTATAATCGATAAAACATACATATGAGATGATAAAAATTTAATTCTCAAACAAATTTTGAATATATAGCATTTTTTATATGAAGAATAGTATACATTTATTAGTCTTAGATGCTTATGTTTTTGTAGTGTTAACATGAGTAAAAATAGTAGGAATCAAAATATGGCGCGACTATTTACTGGAAACATACGTACTTTCTTCATCATATGTTTTCCTGTTCGGTACAGACGCCACTTTCTGCGAATGATAGACAAGTTAGCGCGTGTCTATCAATTATGAAAGCCATCTTGTTCTGTAGGCGATTACACGGCAATAAATGAAAGTGAAAACATGTAATAATTATCCCGTTAAGATATGAACATTAGTGTTCCCTTGAAAGCGAACAACTTCAATAAATGTATTTCATACAAGTGTATATTTTCTACATATCAGAGGAGTTACGTAACTGTTACAAGTGAATATATCTCCTAACTGAAGTGAGATCGAAAACTGTTTGGTGCGGTTTCTATGGTAACAGAGGCACATTTTTTGCGATATGAGAAATATTTTTAGATTAGATAAATTTTTAGTTTTCAAGGTTACCTTTATGTTTTTATCTATTTTATAGCTTCGGAAACATTTATTAACACATTGTATATGTACTGATTTCACCTTTTGTGAAGCAGTTGAAAGGAACTGAAAATTATTTTTTTCCAGTGATGCTATCGATTTCCTTGACCTGTAATGTGCGCAGTTATCGCTTTCAACAATCATTGTGAGCAATGCCTCCAACTATTAAAAATTTCTGTTTTTATGGTCGTAGGATACACAAATCTCATTTGTGCGAAACAAAACGAATTCAAACATGATTATCGACATATGTATTAATAATATATTTAAACTGTAACAAAATCATAGATAATTAAAATTCCTAGAAATAATTTGTAGAAATAAATTTTTAAAAATTCTTATTCTTATTTATAATATTTATGAATTTTTAAAAGTTAATGATGATTATTGACTGTAAAAAAATATACGATAAAACAATATAGTTTAGCAATGGCTATCTGCCTGAGAAGCTTAGAAATTGGGTATTATTAACAAACTAATTCTTAACTCCTTCAGTGATTTCAAAGCGTGAAGTATCAGGGAAACATGTAGTAAGAACACATCATAAGATGTACATGTATCCTCCGTGATCATATACATGATGTACATACATACATGTGGACACGCTCGTGTGTTCACTGATAAAGTATACTATATACACATATTATAAAGTATGCAACTACATAGTGAAGTATATAGTTACGTGTCGAATATGTAAAACAAGATATTTTTATAAAATATAAATTAAAAAATGATAGTATTTTAGATTTTTTATACTTCTAAAAGCATTAGAAATAAATAATGTATTATTTTATTATTCAATTTTACTAATATTGGATAAGATATTTTATACTCGAATGTACTTATAAATTTATTAAATTTTAGCTAAATTTACTTCTAGCAATAAAATTTATAAGTCTTTAACTTTTAATGAATGGTTTAACTGATGTTGATGTTTCTTAGTAGAATGTAGTATGACAAATGCGATGATCTTAACGGAAATATATAACTATATTGTCCGTTCATAACAATATGTACATTCGAGAATTTTTCTAACAGGAAACTACAGGTTACGGAGGTAAAATCGTCGCAACTACTCACATGCTTATCAAATGTCTATATGAACAATATGTAAGCAAGTTTTCCCATCTTCTATAGTAGGGAAACATGATGTATTCTGGTTCACAAATATATAAGGAGATTCTTTCATTAAAGCATGCGTATGTAAGTACTTACATACGTATGGCCAAAATATATTCAAGGAATGTACTTACATACAACGATTTGTAATGTCTGAAAGTTATTATTAAGCAATATACATAATAGACACATTTGCTTTATAATTAAGATTAGAATTGCAGCTAAATATGCTTTTTCTGTTATACATTTTAAATAACAGGAAGTACTAAAATAACTTGTAATAAATGAAAATGTTTTCGGATGTTAACCACGACATCCTGTTATGCCTATGCAGTTTATTTATAAACGACCTGATTTTTAATGTAATATGCTTTATTTGAATATGAAATTTTACGAAAGTGCTACAAACCTTATTTCTTTGTTTATTTTAGATATAAATACTAAAATTTTGTAAACAATATCTTATTTCTTTTAAAAACATTCAAAATACAGATTTATGAAATCCACTACGTCATTCCAGTATAAATAGGACTACATACTGAATTTCCCGCGAAATAATTCCAAGGATCAAGTTTGCGATTTTGATAAATTATTACGTCAAATCTTTCCGTGTTTCAGTAAACAATGTAGATTTTTATGGATTGCAACATGTTTCATCAAAATCAAATTGACAAAAGGATTTAATCACTATCGCGAATTGCGTGGTGGTTAAAACATCTACATTTTAAAGCTGTCTTTTTCATTTCTAATTTGTATTTTTACGTAGCTTATGTAGTAATTTACGTATTTTTAAATTGATAACATATTTCTATATACCAGTGCATTTGTTATAATAACTATAGAGAGTTCTACATTTACAATACCTCCTTTTTTGTTATAACGTTGTTTAATATTTGACACACTCCGCAAAAGTAACATATCCATATTTCATTCATTAATTGATAATGTATGCCGATGTTAATATCGTACCTTTATCGATAAGATATCAATGATTATATTGTTTAACTCCTCGCTAGTGTAAACGATAGATTTAAATCAACCGTAATGTTCTAAACTTGGTGTCTACGTCATGACCCCTTTTGTACTGGTACCAATATAACAAATGCGAATAGTACAATTTACAATTGCATTTAATTTTAAAAATGCTTCCTAATATTTTATTTATGTTAAATATAATAAAAGTTAATATAAAATAAAAACTGCACCAATAAATTATTTATATTTTTTAACAAATGCGCAGTTTGCTAAAGCATGTTTTAATTTCACTGTTGGTAATAATACAGTTTTAAAAATACGATTTCCAATCCGAGCTCAAAAACCACTCGTTATTTAAAGGCGGACAGAATAGATTGATGGAAACACGTTCAAAACCATTTTAAAAGTGTGCTTAAATCTGTGTCAACGTTTTATAGTACGTTTTGTAACTCGCGCCACAAATGTTTTTTTACAAGAGTACTTTGAGGTTATGAAGCGTTATATTCATAACAATTGTGAGGCATGCTCTACATTTATCACAAAATTGATTTACACGGAAATATAAAATAGGAATTAAGTAGCACGTTTAAAACGTTGGAACATAAAATGATGTGGTTGCGACGACCGTTTACACTACCAATTTTACTTGGTTTATCTCTAACGAGTGTTAGCATTGCTGTATTATATGTATTGTTCAAAAAGGTAAGATTGCAAGTACATAAATTTATGTATTGTTTAATTAATATTTTATTAAATTATTTTTTCAATTATATAGGATGAAGATGATATAAAATCCCGAAAAAAAAATATTGAAATTGCAAAACGAATTTCGATAGATTGTAAAGTACCTAGGCAATTTGTACCTGCAGTTATTGGAAGAGGTGGTTCAGTGATAAAAGATATGCAGGATAAAACAGGAACCCATATACATTTTGAGGAAGATAATATTGAATGTCCTAATCGTATTTGCATCATAAGAGGCAGTTATGCAGGTGTACATTTAGCAGAAGAAATGATAAAGTCCATAATTCAAAATCAGCCTATAATTGAAACATATGAAATGTATGTACCTCAAAAGGCATGTGGAAAGATAATAGGAAGAGGTGGTGAAAATATACAACAAATTCAAACAATGTCTAGTGCAAAAATCATTGTTGAAAATAGCTATGCACCTTATGATCCAAGTATGTATATTTTGCATATAAATTGATATCATGCTTCCTTTTTGGTTTTCTTTCTTTTAAATTTTAATAACTGTTACTAGTATATTACAGATGCTGAAAGGAGGATTATTATAAAAGGAACAACTGATCAAATTGCTGCAGCTTTGTCTCATATTGAAGACAAAGTTCGTGAAGAAAAAGAAGCACGTACAAAACTAGAGGCTTCTTCTGCAGCAAGATTACCCAGAGGAAAATTGTCTCCTAGGAACACTGTAGTTAGTGCATCAGAACCAAGCACTGAATCTTTATCAATACAAGGTATATAAAACACATAATGTGAACAATATTTTTATTTGTCATGTTATGAATTTTTTCTACATTTGTATGTTTTTCCCCAGTCACTGATGGCTTAATGGAAGTATATGTATCTGCAATGGAAAATCCTAGTCAATTCTGGGTTCAAGTTGTAGGTTCTGGAACTACAGCTTTAGACAAATTAGTTTGTGAGATGACTGCCTATTATAACGATGAACAAAATCATGAATTGCATACATTAAGAAATGTAAATATATAATTCTACTAAGAATAATGTCTGAAAGATGATGAATTCAATTTTTATCCTGATTGTATCATTTTATTTCAGATAACACCTGGTCAAATAGTTGCAGCCAAATTCAGTTTTGATGAACAATGGTACAGAGCACAAGTTACTTCCACACCTGAGGATGATCAGTGTGAAGTTTATTTTGTGGATTATGGAGACCATGAAATGGTCCAACTTGATCATGTGCTGGAACTTCGAACCGATTTTCTTAGCTTACGATTGCAGGCAATCGAGTGTTCATTAGCCAACATTAAACCAAAGTAAGTTTATTTTTAATTAAATTGATTCGGTAAAGCTCAAAAACAGTAAAGTATACTAAAGTTTATAAAAACGTTTATTAAAATTATTTGTTGAAATCGAACATTCTCAACGGGATGTTATAAATAATCGAACTTTCGCATAAAGACACTGTTGCATGATATATAGGTTCCTCTATATCGATAATATCCCCTATAAATCGATAATGATTTATAAAAATTCATGTCAATTGCTTAATTCACTGTCGTCCATATTACTTGATCTTGAACTACCCATTCCAGCTTCACAAACTTCATTGAACAATTCTGGGTTTACTTGTTCCATCATTTTCCATGCTAAACTTTTATTGAGCATCATCATGTTCTCCTCGCAATACGCTATGCTCGCCCTTTTGAGCGCGTCACAGCCAAACTCATCCGCAATGAAAAGTCTACTCGCTATATTTTCTGGAGTTATCGTTTCAATGAGATTTCTCTCGCAAAGCTCCTTTAATCCTGAAAGATAATTATCAATGATCGCCTTAGCCGACGTAAGACGTTGTAATTAATTTACCCTGTAGACAAAAGCGTTCAGCCAAGGATAACAGTTGGGGAGCAAAGTTATCCACATTATCAACGTGATCACTGTATATGTATCGCAACAGTTCCTCCGCCACTTCTTTACTGAGATCCAACAATTCCAACGAAAACGTGTAACAATCCTGAAATATTTCCAAACCAATAGCATTACAAAAAGTTTACGTATCGAACAATTGTAATAGCAAGCAACACTGAGTACTCACCCGTGAAGCTAGCAAACTCGGTTACAAAATATATTCTTCATAAAAAGACAATTGTATCGCACAACGAAAACTATGTAAATCTCATAATTAATCGCAGGATTGTTAGTTAAGATAAAAAGAAATAATAAGCAACAAAAGAATCACTATAGAATACAACTCTACAAAATTATAATTACAGAAAAATTACATTTCATAAGCCACTCATGTTTAATGATAAAATAGAGCTGATATTACTGTTAGATATTTGAGGAATATTATCAAATTGCAGATTCATTCAACTATTTATGGGGTTTAAAACAGATCAATTCGACCATTCTGCAACACTGGCACAGAATAACGCCTGACACGTACATTGGGACGTCCGTTTTCTTTATCGATTACATTTTCTTCCTCTCGCGTATCCGATATTTTATCTTCTGCGGTATCCGCCTTTGAATTTTTCCTGTGGTCGAATCCGTTTGTGGGCAAGATCATTTCAGCTAGAACATTGCTACGAGCTGCTAATATACTACTGTGAACTGGAATCTCTGTCGAACCTCCGCATGTTAATTTTGTGTCTGCACCATATGCATATTTCAACAGTCTCGCCATATCCTGCAATGCGTTAATTGACCATTTAATTTGCATTTATTACATTTTCATTCGATAGAAACCAAAAATAAAAAAAAAAATTTGATTTAAGAATATCTTCACGTTGAAAGTACTCGCCTGCGGTAGATTGTGCTTCTCACTGTCGTATTGGATTATTTGGATCTTAACCATTAACACCACCTCGTTGTTCTTCTTTAAATGCCTGTCGACGATGGACAAGTCTCTGTAGCCCAAGGAAATGATGTCCGTGTACGATTTCAGCTCGAGTATTGTCCTGCTAACGTGACAGTACTCCCAGTGTTTAACGTCGGCATTGAAAACTGCAAATTGAAATCGTATCTTCGCTTGTTCCGCTTCATCTACGGTGCAGTTCAACATGTTCAGGCACAATACCACGGGGTTTATCATTCTTTTGCCTGTTACCAAACAGTAGACCATTCTTTCGTTTAATAAAGTCGATATCGATGATTGTCCCGAATGAGAAGAGAAAAATGAATATGGAAAAAGATGAAAGAGGGGGGAAAAAAAATGCGACAAATTCTCAAACAGCATGATAAGGTTCAGAAATTGATTTCATTGTTTCTACCTCGAAACAGATACAAAGGGACTGATTTAAAAAGAAGAGAACAAACAAACGATTGAAATTTTCCGAAGTTGAATTACCAAATTATTCAAAATTGATTTTCTATTTTACTTCTTAAAGAATTTTCAGATACAAATTAGCGTACTTTTGTTGAGAAAAAGAGCGATTAAAGATAGGATCACTGTCGAATGATGGATTTGTAATGGTGAATCCGTTTTTCTTACCATCAGGATTCTTCCAGAATCTGATAGACAAATTCCACCTGCTGTGAATACCGTTCACGTTGACATCGAATGACGGGCTATCTATAGAGCTCTTCTTTAAAACAGTCTTCTTGTAATTTGGAATGGGCCATGTATACTTAAACACGATATCAGAAACTGCTGGTACCAGTAGCTCCATTTTCTGTTGGTTTTACTTAAACAGGAAACACCTGTTGTAATCAGAAAGCTGTTAAGCATCTTCGAGATGTCTCTTTCTCTATGAGTTTAATCGCGGTTAATCCTGATAATAATATATTTGCAGAAAAATATATTTCGCAATCATCTAACTTTTACTATTTTTTTTTATTTTTTCACTGTTCTCTATTTATACTATTTCTTTTTGCTTCTAACTACCTTTACTGTCTTTTTCTTTTTTTTTTTTTTGTACCATTTCTCTCATTCTACTTTTTCACCGTGCAGTTTTTTTCATTTCGCTTCACTTTCGATTTTCTCGCGGTACGCACGTCTGTCTACACCGGGCAAAAGTAATTCCGGTGGCGCGGTACAATTGCGGTGTGCGGAGCACACGATAAAGCTTTGTGAAAGTGCGCAAAACACTTCTGCCGATTGTTAGTCTCATGCACGTAGCAAACTTTGCGGTATAAATCGCAAGTTCAACGGTAGGCACGCGTGTCTCTGTACGTTTGGCAACGAGCCAATTTCTGATCTTAATTTATCTTTATTCAAAGGGAATTCCTTGCTGGTTGTTCGGCACGTTCACGCTTTTATTTCGATATTTCCTACGAAATCACGTTTTATTCCGAGAGTAATAAGAGGGCGAAGCTTGGCTCAGGGAATTGAAAACAAACAAACAATTGTATAATCCAAATCATCGATTTTCAATCTCGTGGTACGTGTAATATTTTGTCGAACTGTCGCGTGTTGGCTATTCAAATTTCACGGAGTTTCTGCTGTGCTCGGGGACAAAGTTTGTAAACAATCGAGCAAACAAACTCCGCAGGTATAAATTTATAAAATAAATATCGTGTGAAATGGGGTCGAATAGTGTCGCTCGCGAGGCGTTGCAAAAAATTGCGAGGACGTTGGAAATGATTTGAAATTGTTAATTGAAGAGTTTAATTGACGCCAGGAGAGACAGGAATATTTTAATTGGAGCGTCGAAACGAGGAGAATCTATGATAATTACATACGTGTCTCGTCACAGAGGATACGTTTGTAACCGGAGTTACGAACAACGAACGAAAGTTTAACGAATTTTCCATTAGCGACTTTCGATTGCAATCAATTCGAGATCAAGCGAAGACTGTTGTAGATTCGCTACGGTTGTTTATGGCTAAGCGTTAAAGAGACTGGAACACCGAATTGAAAGTTAATTGCAGTTATCGAAACAGCAATTGTGCAAATAGAATCAATAAGGATTCGAGTCGATCCCGACGATGCAATTTCAATTGCTGCTCCAATCGATTGAATATCAATTATAGACCTTCGTATCTATTCGAAGATACTATTTCTATGTAGGGTTACCGCAATTTTAATTGGAAACTAACAGAGGATGCAGTTCATGGGAACCTATTGACTCGTTTCTTACTTCTTTTCTGACGTTAACATGTTACATTTCATTTCTGATCTTCGCTCCCAGAGAAAAATTGAAAATTCGTAGTTTCAACTGTTAACGATTATACGAAATTTTCCGTTTGCATTTTGAAAATTTACGGATTCGTAGTTCGACTTAACGAAGACCTTCCAGAAACGAACTTTGCGATTTATACCGTGAAAATTAGCTTCTGAAACAAAGAAAATTGCACTTATCAGGTACGAGCGTGAAAAGGGTTAACCACCAGATTGAAAATTTGTTTTGTCGAATTAAGTAGGAAGCGTGCAAAGGATAAAATTGAGAATTAAATTAAATTATGGAAGTGCGCCAAGAGGCAGTCAACAGCACGGTGCAAACAAATTTTCCAAGCGCCCAATAGGCGCCAACGGCAATGAAAGGGTTAAACTGACGCTTCTCAAAAATAGCTGGTGTCAGAAACTTGTCCTGTGAATGTTCGTAAGAATGGATGAAAAATCGAGTCATCCCTGCAATGCCTCGAACGATCAGAATGGGATTAGATTCCGCTGCGAGGAAGGAGGGAGAGACCGTAGGGAGAGACGGTAGCAGTCGAATGCGAATTTAATCAATCTGACCGAATACCGTGTGCCTCGCATCGCGTGCCGAGAAACAGCTAATCACCGTTGCAACCTCGAAGTAATGCACACACGATGGTTTTCGAGTTGGAATTACCGCGGTGCCGACGGTCTTCGGTTACACGCGACACGACGGCTTTCGAGGGCAAAACCGACGAGTGCCTCGTTGCCAGAAACCCGCAGACCACTCCGAAACGCTTTCTATTTCCGTTACACTCGTTTCACCACTGCCCTCCCATGGACTTGGATTTTTCCCGATGCACAATGCACAATACTGCTTCCTGTTCCCGGAACAGGATCATTTTTCTCCGATTTCTCGGGCTTTTTCTCGAGGGCACGCTTATCCTACTCGTTAGACGAGCACTTTCTTTCTTTTTTCTAACTGCTCTTGTTGTGTCGAGATTTTTGTGTTCGTATTAGGATCAGAGATCAAAAAATAAGAATTATTTTAAAAATCGTCGAGAAAAAATTATTGTTGCTTAAGTTGAAGGTAACAATCGAAAGATTTTAAGATCTTTTTAAAAAGTTTTAAAAATTCTTCAACGGTGTAACGATTTTAATTTTTTTTTTATTTTTATGATCGATAGTGGTTATTAGTGAACAAAAAATTTGTCAGCGATAATTTGATAATTGTTTTCTTAAAATTTGTACTGTTGACACTTGTAGCCGTTTTTATGTTCAATCCTCAGTTGTGAGAGTCGATTCAGATTAAGCTAGAATAATGACCGAATTACTGTTCTTCAGCAAAAGTGCACTTTTGTACACCTTTTCAGCGGTACTTTTTTTTTTTATTATCATTCTTGTTTGTTCACGATGCTTGGAGCTTTTTCAAACACTCTTTGTATGACAGTGGGTCAGTGCGACAACTAGGTCGGGTAAAAAGAGTGGCGAAATAATTGTTTTCCACCTTTTATATTTCGTAGGGAACACTTTGACAGACTTGAAAGAAGTATTTTCATAACTACTCTCGTTGTTTGAAGCTTTTTTGTTGTTCACTTCATCGTAGACCTTTTTCAACACACTTTCGTTTCTTTTCTTCGAATTGAACCAGAACGGAAATTGCAAGTTTTCTCTTTGCAAAATTTTTTTAGCCAGTTTTCAAATCAAATACACGCGATTTAAATGAAAATGGACGAAAGCGAAGGTAATTATTTTGAATCGGTTAAAGACACGATTATTTTCAGAATTCTATTCGATTAATTTAACCACTTAATTCGTGAAATTACCGGTTTGAAACAGTTAGACGTAATTTCGTCACGACTCTCGAGCGCGTCTAGAAAAATTCTTTCAGGCAATAGGAGACGCGATGAAACTACCTGGTAATTCAAGACGGAATTAACAAACGGGGTAATCGCGTTAAACGGTTCTTAATTGAAGGCAACAACGAGCTCGAGGACTGTTTGCGTTACAAGCGCATGTCATTTAAAAAGCTCGATTGTTCGCCTTCGTCTTGCAATTAATTTCTCACTATGTTTCCAACTATTTTCGACAGCTCTACAAGCATTCTAAATTCGATTAGTATACCAAACACTTTGCCCAGTAAAAATCATAATCCTTCTGCTTTAATACTGAAGATATCACTGTTAATTGTCGAATCGTTATCAATGCAAACGAAAAAAAAATTACCAACAACCCTTCTACAATACCATACAGTATAAATTAAAAAATCTTCATATTTTATCATTTTTTTTCTTACAACGAACATCACAATACTCTCTGTGCTAATTGAACAGAGCGTTCTCCTAACAGCTCGATATTCCAAGTAACGTTTATTCCATAAACACTTTACAAGATCAGCTTTAATATTCATCGCTTAAAAACGTAACGAGAAGCTTTCCCTTGGCAACAAACGAGGAAAGCCGCGGGTATAACATTTCTCTTTCATTCCTCATTCAAACTGCCACTTGACACTGTTGCACACTGTGGAAAAGCCACGGTCGCACACGAGAGAGCCTCGCAGGAACGCGAAATAAATGCTTACTTACGTAAATAAAACACACGCGTCTGTTATAACGTTCATTAATACATCGGGCATAAAGTGCATCGGGCTAGCAAGGGTTCTTGCCAGCGAGAAATCCCCGTGTTCACTTTTTCCACTCTGCACTCTCAACGTTTCATCTATGTTTCACTGGTTTCGATACTGCGTGCAAAATCGATCGACAGAAAGAAAGAATTCTTCCTTCGATATTTACTGTTTCAATTGCTTTCAATTTTAACAACGGAGACGTTTCTTCGACTATCTTACGAATTAAACTTAATTTTCTTCACTGTGACATTTTCCGTTCGAATAGAATATCAATTTTTACGACAATGTTTTAGACAGCTAGAATTCGATTTTGCAATATTTACACCGACACGGAGTAACGATTTTATTTAGGCGAGATAAAAATATTCGGGGTTTCCCCGGAAAATGCTTTCTCTAACCGGTTCAGATAGGGATTATTGTTCAGCACGAAGAACGTGAAACGACTGAGAGGGTCTGACCATTGCTGAGGGTCTACGTTCATCGTCCACTTCATCTTCTCGCACGTGTACACTTGTGTTGTGCCGTTTATAAATGGAACAAGACGTCCCGAAAGTGCTCGTCGAGCCTCGCTAAATGGGGGTGCTTCACGCACATGTTCTTTGTTTCGTGCAACGATACCGCCTATCGCCTTCCTCGAATTCGCGTACATACCGAATCCCAGCACCGCGTAACAGGGTTAATGGTAATTGCATCAAGGAATCGCGGGTTACGTAAAAGTTGCGCGTGTAATTGGGCCACGAACAAGGCGATTCGGGAATACGTACAAGTTAAAAAGTTTCGGGTGATTGACCTTTTATCTTCGACGCTTCGTTTCGCGAAGTGAAAAGGCAAGAAGGGGTTGAACTACTTGTACACCCTTTTCGAATTAACCCTTAAAAGCTATCGTCAGACGAAAATCACGTTTATGCTAACATATAGGTGAAATTTCACCATGGCATATATATATACTTTTTCTAAAGCTTAGTTTGGTAAAAGAAACGATGAAAAGATGGTTTTTGTGGGGATAGGGTTGATGAAAATGTGGTAGTATAAAATGAGATTGTGAAAAGTGAATTGGATCATCTCTGATACTGTGAGATTCGAATAGGATAATTTCAGGATCGTAAAATCGCGGTTTGAGAGATTCGAAGATTATGGAATTTTGATTTTCCCGAATCGAGGAACTTGAATCTTAGAGCTGAGACCCCGGATTCTGGGCTTCGAGATTTATGGGGTTGAAGATCTTAGGACCTTAGGGTGGTTTCCGAAGTGGTAAATCTCTGGATGAAGGAAATTGAGGTTGACAACTTCTAGATCGTGAAAATTCAGCTTTCACCTCTTTAAATCAAAAAAATCGATTGTGAAAGTCCTGAGTTGTAAAATTTGTTGTTCCACAGCTCGTAGGAATTAAAGTCCAACGACCTCGATCGTGAACCTGAAGATCTCCGAAATCTAAAGTGGTCCAAAATAGTGTCTGTAACACTGATGCAGTCTAATTCGAGGTCTCGCAACCTTATAATTATTAAAGTTGAGGTCTAACGATTTTAGAATGATTCGAAACTGATAAAATCAGTTTCATTTATGTCTAATAGACCTCAGCTTTCGAATTTCTCATCTCTCAATTCCAAAACTTTTTAACGATCCTGATTAAATCTACAGAATTTTACAATAGTTACATGTCTAGATCAATCTGAATCGTACAATTTTGTGTACCTATCAGAACCCTTCCAGAAATATCAAAATTTTCGCAAGACAAATAGCGCATCCGACAACATCGTGATCTCAAACGTGAACCTAGACCAACTGTTTAAACAACAACGTGGTGAATCAACATGTTCGTAACGTAAATATTTGCACGTTGTTTGTGATCTTCGACTCTGCTAAAATTGGCACGAGGAAAATTATCGAAACTCCTATTCGTCGAAACTGCAAACACCATGATTCAAGAATAATAGAACGAAACACAGAAATACGCTCATAGACATATTTCTCGTAATATCTAACGAAAGTTGCTTTACCTAAGATCAGTGTATATTTAGCAAGTTCACACTGCGTTCTTTGTAATACGAACATACCAAACATTGAGAACAAAATATCGTTTCTGGGCATACGATTCCCTTTTCGCTGCCAATTCAACGACATATTTATCGCTCTACGATCCGCGTAACTTCGCAATTCGGGCATCCGCAATTGCCAATTGCCCGGGTTGGAAAATTAACCAACGAAAATACGTCATTTAACGTGTTACGAGGATTATTAAATAATTGCGTAACTTCGGATTCACGGAAGGAATAAAATTAAAAATTCCGATAGAATGTCGTAATTGTGACAATTCTTGGTATTGGTGTTAATGGAAATTGTTTTATTCGTTGAATTATTTTTTTTCTTCGATGATTCTTTATATAAATTTGATCGTGTTTGTTGTATTTTTCTTCGCACGATTTAGGGAGAATGAATGGAGCATCGAGGCTTGTGACAAATTTACGGAACTCACTTGGTTGGCTCAGTGGAAGGTACTAATAGCCAAAGTTAGGGGCTACAAAGAGCGAGCTTTTGGATATGGAAGATTCAGACGCGAGGGCTCGCCGATTCCATCCGTCGATCTTTACGACAAAAACGACGATAAGGTATTTTTACGAGGTGTTTCAGGTTGAAAATGAAGAAAATCCAGGAATTACGCGGATTAAAACATTTCAACGTTTAGCGATAAAGTATCTCCACGAAATTCATAATTTGCAACTCCGTTCAAATTTTCTTTAAGCAGATTAACCAAAGAAATAAAAATAAATAAATTTGTAAATATTTATAATTTTTTTTTCAAAACGAATCTTTTAGTTTGCAAAAGTTTCGCTGTAAAAGTGTGCTGGAATTCCTGATCGATCATATCGAAAAATGCTCGAAATGCATACGATTGAAATTATTTCACGCAATGAATTACTCTTTTCTTTTTCTCTCCTTTTTTTTGTTTTTCTTAACGCGTACAGGACATCAACATTGGTCAAGAGTTAATAAACGAGGGTTTAGCCGAGCCAGAAGAAACTCTATCATCTGCAGCCTCTTCAACGTTGTCGTTATCTACACGGAGCCACGAGATCACGACTATTTCAAGTCCTGCGTCTACTTCGCCGTTAGCGAAACGAGCTCTGAGCCCTGAAACGCCGGTAAACACTTCACGTAAATTGGATTCGACCATCGACTTGCCAAATACATCGGTCATAGAGCTCGATATGTCTAAGGATGTGCCATTGCGCCGTCTAGGTGAAGACATTAATCTGATAACGCCACAGGTGAGAACATTCAGCTTCGATTCTATTCAAGTATACTTTGTAACATTGTTTTGTAACACTGGAGAATTTTCTGTTCGTTACTTGAAATTTCATACGAGCTTTGTTTCGATCATATTTAACATTTGCTGTCATATTGTAACACAAGTAAAAACACCACTCGATAACGCAAAAGAGTTCATATAGAAAAATTCACAAAGTTTCAAAGATAAAAAAATTGTTTCCCTTTTCTAAAGATCGACAAAAATTTTCCCATTTCTGAAGATAAGAAAATCCTGAGTTGCAAAACGAATAGAAGAATCCACAAAACTACCAAATTTGAATATTACAACCGGTAAACAACATGTTAACAATCAATTAACCCTGAAAATTGCAAAACTACAGTAGAAGTATGCCACGAAATCAATTTCACCGGAAGTTCGTCGAGCCTGCAGCCTCCGAACAGTAAGACTTCCTCCGCGAAGCGGTAAAACGGGATTGAGCGTAGAAAGTGCGCGGTGAGGCGATTTTTTCGCCCTTTTTTTTTCTCTTTCTCGAGGAACACGCTCGCCTGCGGTTAACCATTAAATCGACGAACACATCGCGATCATTACCAATGTCTGTATCGATTTCTTTCAGAAACCAGGTGGCCAGATCGAGGAGATCGATTTGGTGACACCGGTGAAGGACGAGACGAGCCGTTTCATCGAGACAGAGAGGAAAGTGCACCGTGAGGACGGTGCTGGTGATTATTTGCGTAACGGAAGCAGAAATAAGTACGGGAAATCGGAGACTTTGCAGTTTAAAATCAACAAATCGGCACGATTCGCTCCGGCCGGCTATGAGAGCGATATATCCGATGATTCTGAAGAATTGGAGCTGGGGTAAATCGAACGAACCAGCCATTTTTTCCCCCTATGGAATATGCTTCTTCTTTTCTTTAGCCTCGTAGATATTTGATAATACAATGTAAAATTGGAACGAAGTATATACTTCGATGAGAAAAGGACAAGATAACGTAGAAGATCCGCCAATGAATCTAACCCTCTCCACTTGTACGCTTTTTTCTATATTCCATTCTTAGTAATGTTTCGTTGTTTTCTTTAATTTCATTGGAGAGAGATACGCTTCTTTTTACTATTCCTACGGTGTACCTTTTGTGATACTTCGATAATTATCGTAGTGAATTATTTAGAAGAAGAAAGAGAGAGAGAGAGAGAAAGAGAGAGAGAGAGTGTGTTACTTTGTAGAATGGTAATGGTTTTTATGTGCACTCATGAATGGCGAGTTAATCGCGATGTTTTGTTGGTTTGGAAATGAGAAGCTGGACTTAGGAGAGCTTGAGACGCCGTTTGTTTCTTTTAAAATAGTTAGAGAATCTTGCTTGTAGCGATAAATTGAAGAGGTCTCGAAGAATAGGATAGAAATAGAGATGCATTAGTGCTATTAATTTTATTTTATTTATTTTTCAATGGAGCTTCATTTTTTACTGCCTTCGCTCTATTACAGTGCTTTATCATTTCATTTTATCCTAGAACAAAATGCTCGATTTTCAAATTCTCGATTCTCTGATTATTTTAACCGATGTGTTTCACATTTGTCGCCTATCAAAGCGGAGCACCGTTTTTTCTTTTTCAAATTTCACGTGAATAGACAACGATACACGTGTTCTGCCGATTAATCAAAATCATAGATCAAAATAGAATTATCTCCGCACGCTTTAGAGAAGAAGGTGTGTGTAACAGAGAAAAGGGGTAACTGAAAGAGCCTGAAGACGGCAGAACTACATACAGACACACTCTGAGACCGTTCGTGTCTGGGAATACGATAAACCCTGTGAAAAATCTTCCTTGCTCTTCTTCCAAGTAGTCACGTAGCGCTATTCCGTAAGCTGTGAATCGTTTTCTTCAGAACACGTACGCTATTAAAAGTGTGCTCAAGATAAAGAAATCGCGTGCCTTAAAACCGCTTCGTAACATAATTACCATCACCAAATTATTATACTATACAACATATACACGTACGCATATATACATAGCACGTAAGAAACGGATTTAAGTATTAGAGAAGGTGTATAAAATATTTAAACGAGAAACAAAAAAACAAAGGGAAAAGAAACACGTAGATCGTTCTATTTTTATAAGATAACCTTTTAAGTCAGCTTGTTCTCGTAATTGTCCGTCACGAACGCGACATCATTTGTTACTTAAAACGGAGAAGACCTTGTTGATTTTACTGTATGCAACGACGTTACGAAGAAGAAAAAACGAAAAAAAAAAACGTTTATTGTTGCCTACTTAGTTTATACTTTTTTTGTCGTATCTCTAGAGATTTATTTTTTCAAAGGAAAATCCAATTGGACTCGTCGCGAGCGTTTCCAATCGCGTCGAACCCTATAGTACGTGAAAGAGATCTGAACGACTCGTTTATTAATTGTGTACGATTGAAAAATTAAATAATAATCCGAACGAATAAAGTGATCGTTCTTGTAAGCTACTTATCTCTGCCTGGTGTCTTAACGGAACCCTAAATCGTCGTTTCCTTTCACTTTATCCATCGCGCTCCGCTGCTTTCTCGGATTACGGCATCGTGATACAAGAGCGGCGATTTTTCGGAGCTTCTTGTCCACGGGTAAAAGTCGGAACCGAGCGGACGACCGCAAAAAAGAGGGGACAAAGCCCTCGACGAGCAGCAACGGCGACGACGATGGCGGCGGCGGCAAGAGGAGGAGGAACAGGACGAGGAAAGAGCGATATCGGAAGTTACTACGCTGGAACAGTGAGTAGAGAACTTGCTCATCCGACACAGAGGACTGCGAAACCGTATCTGCTTTTATACACGTTCGTCTCGAGTATGAGTTTCTTCGGTTAGAAACCTGACCGAGCAATTTCGCGATTAATGGCCGCTCCAGAAGATTGATTCAAGGGAATAGAAATGAAGAATAAATATGCAAAGCAAGTTATATCTGACTTGGCTAATTTTTCATAAATCACAAAAAAATCTCTTCAACTTGAATCGATCAACACAGATTCGTGACATTTTTTTTATTCAAATTTAAAGAAGTATCGCAAAAGATGAAAAAGAAACTTACGAATGGATGGAATTTTAGTAACTTTGATTTTTCGATGGATTTAAGTAATTTTTTAACGAAATAGGTGAACATACAGGATTGCCTTAAAATTGTGAGACAAATAGAATTGAATATTTTCTTTGGGAGTATAGCGAATTTTTTAATATCGAAGTACCACGCACCGGAAGTTGCCTTTCGAAATTTACAATGCTTAAATACTAAGAAAGCTAAGTCTCAAATTAAAAAAATTCCTCGTGCACACTGTATATCCATCAATCTCTGAAACAATTACAAATGAGCGCAAGATTGATCAACCTGACAACAACATCATTTAACTAAACCATTTTAATGCTAGACTTCGTGTTTGATGAAACGATCAGTCTCGCTGAATTTCGTTTCTAACGAAAGACGAATCTTTAACTTCCTAAATGAAGGTAAAAAAAGCAAGACTCGACGTCGATTTTCGCGTTCGTCCTAGCCACGAACACGACAATTCGGCTGGAATAGGGTAAATAGCGAGTAAAGAAGTACCGGGAGTAATTGCTGTCGCCTGGAAGCCGGCCGGTGCTTGGTGATCGGGAAAAACGAGAAAGCTGCGGCCAAGCGAAATCGTATAAAACGTCGCTAACCCGACCTTCTCTCATCAGTACGACGAATATCTAAACTGTCTACGCGACAACCGGCTTAAACATCACGATGAATCGTTTGGTAAATTTCTATCGTTCGTTATATTCCCTTAACCCTTTCGAGCAGTACGAACGCGCACGGTAAGTTTTGAATTTTTGCGTGAAATTAGTACTGTCCTTAATTTACACGTCTCTCTACTTTTGAAGGGCGAACTTAATCTATTAGTGTTACTAATTTTAATTTGGTTTAAAAAAATTCACTGCTCAAAGGGTTAATACGCTTGTTTTGGGTGATTCTGGTTTGAGAAGTGCTAAAGGGGTATCTTTGGAAGTTTTAGAGATATTAAAGGGAACGGGAATTTGACGACTGATAGATTAAGATTGGAAATTTTTGGGAAATTTTGCGCGATATTGGAGAACTTGCGGTGTCAGAAATTAAACAGTTTCTTTGTAATACGGAAAGGTGCAAAGTATTTTAGGAAAGAATAGCTAGAAGATCGGTAGAATTTCCAAATTCTTTGTTTTTCTTCTCAAAGTGAATAAGTTAAGATTAGACAATTATATTGCGATTTATTGAATTTCAGTTATTTATACTTTCGATGTAAATTCGGATACTCGAGGTATCAGGGAGAAGATATTTTAGGTATGATTTTGCGTTGGTAGTTTTAGATTGAGTTTAAATTAGGTTACGAAGGGATTTAATATTAGTCGTAGCTAAATTCTGATCTTTCAAGTTTGGATATTTCGTTAAGCTTGTAATTAGTTTCGACCGTGTCGTTAGTATTGGTAACTTTTGCGAATTATTATTAGCAAAATTTTAATGTCAGAAAATCCCGAGGACCTTAAGTGGCTTTGATCGGTGAAACGTAAGTAGAATGGGGTTGAAGGTGATCAGACATTTACTATTTCTCGTTTCCTGACAGATCATACACAGCGGCCTGTTGATCGTCAACGTGATTTTACCTTCGTTGGTCATATAAAACGTGACTGTAGCAGAAACTGTTCTTCGCGTTATAGTGCACGAATCTCTACTATGAAAGATACGCGATGAATATAAACCTGTAATTCATTGGACCTCAAGTAGAATATCACATACTTTCTTTTTACTCCAGAACAAAAAACCTTATTTCTACATTAAAATTCGAGAAACGATAACGACGAAGATAATAATGATGATATAAGAAAAAAAAATGATTAATTATTAAGGAAACATTGCAGAAATTAAATTTGAATTCAGATCTAACACAGTAAATTAATATGTTCGCTACTCTTCAGAAAATTTCAACTCTGAAATTTCTCATTTTAAAAATAAAGTTTAATTTTACTTCTACCGTATCAGCGATTATGCCAATCGTGAAACATTCTAAATTTCATAATGATTAAGAAAAAGGCGAAGCTTCCGATAGAGGGATAATTAGAAAAATGAAATCAGTGCAAGATCGATGAACGCACACGTCGATATTTATGTCATAATTCCCGATTATTATACGATTCTTTTGAATCCCTTGTTTCTTTAGCTTGTCGTAACGACCAGGCCTGGTACCGCGCATAAATCAACCAGCTGACGTTTTCGCAACAGTAGGACGCGCTCTAATTGGTCCCATTAGCTCAACTGCTAATCACCGGATGAAGTTATTCGATGGTACATCAATGATAACGTGCTCTTAAATTGCGAGTACGAGTTAATTGGTCGGTCGATGAAATAACTAATAACCAGTGAAACGTGCTTGATCGATTATTACATGATTGATGCTGCTGCATCAACGTGTGTACCTATACTATGGCTAACTATAAACTTTTATCGTCTAATTTCCACCCGAGATTAAAGACATTAACGATATTCACCTTGTTCTCTTAGCTCGTACGATGTTTTAATTACACGTCGCTTGAGAAAGGTTACAATTTATACTTTTTTTTTACCATCGATATAATTAAAAAGCGTATTACTGCATTCGGTATCGCCGCGTATCATCGGAATTTCTTGTACATCTTCATTGGAGATATGTCACATATAAATAACAGGCAGGTTAATTGGAATCTTTCTGTTAAGTTTGTCCAAGGGTGGTTCTCGATAATTACATTTTTCCTACCTTGACCTTCTCAACTTATCTCTCGCCGCCGTTATTAAATAATTATGCGTTCGTGCTTGAAACGGTCGGTCTCGAAATTATTTGCGTCACTGCTCGAAATGAAAAGAAGAAACGAAATCGCGCGTGAAACTCACCCTCGCCCTCTTTTATCATCGTCACGCATAATTTTCGTGTATTGATAATTGAAGAAAAGCTTATTTACGGGAGTAAATAGTTCAAGTGGAAATTCTGAAAGAAGATTCGCGACGACAATCAATATTTTTGTTGGAATTATTTGCAGACATTTAAGAATTTTCCATGAGAATTGAATATAAAATTTCCCGGAGATAAAACAGTCACGTAATGTATCGTATTAGATTGTCGAAGAATGTTTGAACGTTAGACACGAGTCTAGAAGGTTTCAGTCGCGTATAATTATATTGGTCACTTAGCGGATCACTCGTGATTTTTGCTACCGTTCCAAGGATAAGAATTTAAAAGTTAAACGCTCTCTGCACCAAAGATATCTTTCATCTCTAAGAACGCTCGATAGGGAGGATGCTGTACACCTTTCAAAGGAATCTCCGATACTCTGAAGATCAATGTGCCGTGAAGTGCATGGTCAGTAGCACATCGTTTGACGTGGCATAATGAAAATTCGAGGCCATTGGTAAATGCGAAACTGATAACTTAAATCGAGAAGAAATCTTACTAAAATTAAATCTAACGCATTCCAGTTATGCATTTCACAAGCTATCAATAATACATCTAAAATTAATATCAACATTCCAGTACTTTTCTTAAATTACTCTCCGCTCTCCTTGTTTACTGAATTCCACAATTTTCCAATTTCCCAAAATTTCTCACCTCTCCCCAATCACCAGGACCACATTTCACTCCCCGAATTTCAAGCAAATTCCGCGTTTAATCTGAATCCTCGATCATCTTCAAAGAAGACTCTCTAATTTACTTCGATCTTCGACTCCACCGCAGACCAAGTTCAATATCCCTCGTTATACCGTTTCAGACTGTAACGTTGCTTCTTTTGTGCGTGGTCTACGGTGCTTCGGCCGCGCGTCGCTACATAGCCATACCGGTGGACGGGATCGACGTGATCGAGCTGAGCCCAGTGGCACCGTCCAGGATCACCCGGCAAACAGAGGCCTACGTACCAGTCGCAATTCCTAGTATATCTCAGGAGGAGCTGAAAAGTCCACGGGCCGAGAGATCAACCGCTCACATCCTCGATTACGTGGATTTCGGCGCGCACACAGGTTCAAATGGCGCCTTCAGTTGGTACGCTGATTATCCAGCGCATCGTTGAGTGATCCAGAAAGGATCGGGTGGCGTCGACGTGTACGAGGAGATCCCTGCTGACAAACGAATCGTGACCAACGAATTTTCACTTCTATGAAAAATTTTCGTAACATTGGTAAATTATATGTAGTATGTACCTTGGAAATGGTATCGATGATTTCTTCTGCTGTTGAACAATCGGATTGGTTGGTCGCGGAACGTTGGTCAGTGGGAATTTGTTAAACTTTATTACTGTTTGTTATTTTGTTGATATTAGATGTACGTTAGATAATTTTAAGGAAGCGGAGGAAGTACTGTATCGCGAAGTTTCGATTTTATATTTCTTTGTTCGACGATAATGTGTAATGGACTTGGATTCGAGTTGTTCGATGTCTTGATTTAATTGTGAAGGATAGGTCGATTATCATATAGCGAGACCAATTATTGACGATTTTCAAGAGACAGTTTCAATAAAATATGAAGTATCCTCGCTGATTGAAATTCAACGACCTCTTTATCGAGTGTTCCCCAAGGGAACCGTTGCGACGTTGTGTGTTCGGATGTATAACGATGTTATAGCTGTTTGTGATTATTGTTACAATAAAACCTGTAAACCTACTTGTCCGAAAATTTCTTCAACGACACGTTCTTAAAAAAACAGAAAAATTAATCTTAAATTCTGCAAATTCTTACGAAGAAGATTGGAGTTGACCTTAAAATAATCCAGTCACATCCAGAACACAGATTATGATAAATAATGTTTAACGATAAACGTAATTAAAGAAAAATCGTAAAGCAAAGGTTTAAAGAATTAACTAAAAAAAATGAACATGATAAGGTAGGATCATATTTCTGCATTTTTCACACGACATTGAAAACGATTCGTTTAGAGTAATAATAGTTTTATTTTTCCGGTATAATGATCATACCCATCGTTACAATACAATAAATAGTGAGAGAACGACAGTGTGTGTCTTTGTGTCTCTTCTGTTTTTTTTTCTCGTTTTTTTTTTCTTTTTTTACGTTAATATCTATAGCTTTTTAGGTACAACGATAACAATCTCGTCGAGGCGAGCATCATTTCTATTTCCGAGGCGGAATTCAATTTAACGAGCCGGCGAATTTCGCGAATCACGAATCTTCTTAAGTACCTATACATACACATATATATTAACTATGTATATATATATATGTATATCGCGGCAAAACGGCGAGAAACGATAGGATCGATCGAATCGCTCGTTATTATCCTCGTCACGCTCTTACCTTCGATCTTATTCGGTTCCCTCGTTCTTTTCACGCTCGCTGCAAATTTCGGTGATCTCGTGAGAAACCGCGAAAACACGCGAACCATAATCGACAACCTGATCGACGTGTATACCATCCTATATAAATCCCTTCAAACTCGTAAATATCTCTTATCACCTTTTTCTTTTCTTTTCTTTTTTTATCAATAAATCCAGGAACTTAGGAGCACCTTACAGTGTGAAAAAGATACGCGCGTACATTAGTTTGTCAATGGAAAATTCTTCGGAGTACCTTTAAAACTTTGAAACAATTTGTACATCAGGTTCATCAGGTTCGATATAAAAATTGGAATATGCTCGTAACTAACAGATAATTTCTTCTTTTGCCTTGTTCCAATAAACCGTATTCAATTTTATTGCTATTTGTGTCAGAAACGACGTTGAAATTGTCATCGATGGTATATTGATTATCGTGGACAGAATAACGTATTACCATGAGAGCGGTCTAAGTGGGTATAAAAAAGTGTGTAAAATTTGTGTACACCTCCGATCTAAGGACAGTATTACCACAGTTATTAAATTGAAAGATTGAATAAAAAACTGTCGAAAATGAAATCATTTTACAGCACACTTGTAACAAGATTCGATCAAATATACTTCCTTCTATACACCACTTGTTCCATTTCCGTGAATAAAATAGCCGTGATATTTTGTTCCAAGGATGCAACGAATAAAAACTGTAATCCTTCGCGTACACGACAGCGTGAAGAGGATAATAAATTTTTTTCATCGAATTCAAGCGCACCATTTTCAACTCCAGTCCGCTATTTATGTAGCGTCACATCGAAATACTTAAACGTAAATGTACTTATCGCAATTAATATGTATATCGATATCAACGTTACTCTCTCTCTCTCTCTCTGTAACCTCTGTCGTGTTTTCTTTTTATATCGTTTCTTTTTTCACATTGTGTTTGTACATGTACATACGTTAATCGATAACAATTGTTATCGATTTGTAAACGCCAGAATGTCCGTGTATTTCATTGGTCAGAGACGAGAGAATCTGATATTTCCTTTTCTTTTTTTTCCATTCAGAGAGAACGCCATTTGTCGCTTCTGATGGTCTTGCATTCGATAGGGTCGCTGCAGTCCGCCATTTTATCCAGAGAAATAATCTCTCGTTATTCGTTCTCACGGGCATTTTTATACTTAAATTTATGCAGCTTGCTACAGCTGAGCACCTGAACCCATCGGTTACTTTTGAACAGTATATTGTATTCCTCGATTTATTTCAAGTAAAGTAATACATTAGCTTTATCGGTATTGAATAACATTTGAACACGTCGTGACTGAAAATAATATTATATCACACATACACTTATACGTTAATCGTCGAAACCATCAAATTACTCGTTTATCCCCTTTCTATTAATTAGGTGCATCGCCAAGTGAATTAATCAATAGTACCTTCATCTCAATTTGTTTAAATGTTATTCGTCACTCTGTTAATGACTGTACAATTTCACATGCAGACTAAACGTAATAATTAGCCTATTTAACCCTTTCGCAGTGTATTACAGAATTAAAATACAGCTGGTATCGATTACAAAAAGAATAACGAGAAATTTTATACAGTACGTAAATATTAAAAGTACCTCTTCGTTCGATATCGTAAAAAATCAAATGGAATATACTTTGTTGTTTCGTCGCACTACGAAAGGGTTAGAGAACACCAAACAACCATCGTATCGTGATCCCACAAAGATTAATTGCTATAACGAATCAAGGCTTGCGGTGGAAATAGTAACTCGCTAAGAATATTGTCATCGACGATACATCAAAAGTATGGTGGAGCAATCGATATGAAAAGCGACGTTGAAAACATTCGACTTTAAAAATTCGTTCCATCGTTCGCAATTGCTTGTGTATCCTTTTACGCCGAGGCCCTCTGTGCAAACGCAATCATGGCCGAGGCAAACTGTATTAGCCAGCGATCGTCTGAACATTAATTACGTTTCCACGTCGTGGAACGTTCTCTTTCTATTTCTCTCTCTCTCTCTTGAAGTTCGACTAAATGATTTTGCGTGAAAAAAAAGAAGCCGTCTGTCGTTGATCGACGGCGTTACATAAAGTTCGTATCGCAACTTGTAAACGCTTCTGTTTGCCGCGAAACGCCTCTTCCTCCCCTTCGAACGCGTTTCCCCTTATCGATGGCTCGTCGAACGTAGCAAAAGTACAAGTTTACGTGTGTGTGTGTATGTGCATGGAGAAACGTACATGCGAATGTAAGCAACTAATGAAATCCACTGTGCCGCTATTGTGCGAAACGCATTGTGACGACGCGTTTGTGAAAAATTGGTCCGTTTATAGGGAATTCGACGAGAAGGAAGCACGAGCGTGTGTGTCGAGAAAAATTCCGCAAATAATACCTTAGAATCGAGATTGTTCATTCGGAAGTTATTGAAATTACCGAAATATAGGAGAAAAGTAAAGATTTTCTAAAAGTAGAAATTGACGATTTAACGTGTAAAAGTACAGTTTAAGAAAACTGTCAGAATGTTGACGTTCACGGTAGAAGGATGATTTTTCTACGTAAAAGGTAAAAGCAAGTAATTCGCATAAAAGTATAATTGTCAAGAAAAGTGGAGTTTCACGTAGAAAAGCAATTTCAGAAACTTAAAAAGTTTGCGTTTCAACCAGGAGAATAAGTTGGAAAATCCCAGAGACCTGCGTTTCACCAAATCACCTAAGGAACCTCTCTCCTCCTTTATCCAACCCTTCGTAGACATCGAGAAAGAAACTTCTAAAAGCCAATAAAACTCAAATATCTCGCATAACTATCTCATCGTATACTATTATGGCCGAATAGAGGCGAAGCTGCGAGTTTTTCCTAGGCGCCGACAAACTCACACTATGCACATCCACACACGTCGTGCGACTTGGGAACGAGGATCGAGAAGTACATTATATTCTCCCCAAGTGTCAGACCGCAAGGAAGCTAAACCTGACACTCCTAGAGTCAGGGACCACGTTTTCGAGCCTCGCGCCCGCCTTTGTAGTTTGCCGAACGTAGACAAGGACAGCAAATAAAAGATAAGCATGAAACGTGAGTCGAGGCAACCAAGCGATTTAAATACCAACTTTTTTAATTTTACGTCTTTTTATCCCGAAATTTTTCTTCAAACACGACATAATTTGAACAACATTTACTTATTAACACGTTCACTGTCTGGCGTGACAGTGAATAAGTAAATGTTGTTCAAATTATATCGTGTTTGATATCATTTTCATCAGAAAAATCTCACCAACATGTTAAAAAAAATTCCAGATGAAAAAAAGTAAAATTAAAGAAATTATATTTTTCTATTATGATTTGTCGAGCCGTGTAATCTCGTAAAGGAAACCGACTGGTGTAGGCGTTACAGACCTAGGCGTAGGACCATCTACACTGTCACTTGTAGAATCCAAACTTACTGACTCTTGTAGAGAAT